TTTAAAATATTTTTTTCTTAAATCAGCAGAATCAGCCAAAACAGCCACTCCAGCCAGAATATCATAAATTTCAGCAGAATCAGCCAAAACAGCCGATTTTGGTGTTACCAAACGGGCTCGTAGTTTCTACTTTCTACGATATAAAATTTGAACACATTTATAGTCTCTGATACTCCCTCCATTCCCAAAAATACTTCCCACTTTCCTTTTTGGGCCGTTCCAAAAAATTCTTCCCACTTTCCCTTTTTGGATAATTTGTGTGGCTCACATTCATTTTACCTTTTTCTCACACAACCACAACCACACATTTCCACTTTATTCCACTTTCTTAATAGGCGTGTCAAGTCAAATCGGGAAGAATTTTTAGGAACAGAGGTAGTAGTTATTAAGACCGCTTTAGATCAGAACACATAAAAAAATTCTGATCAAATTAAAATATTTCAAATCATATCATAATATCAAAAGTCAGATTAGATTAGATCAAACTGGAAATTTTTTATATCAAATTAAATTTTAAAACTATCAGATCATAAATATTCACAGTATCTAAGAAGCTTAGAAGAGTCATGTTGTAGAGCCCAGCCCATCTGCTTATCGTCACAGTATCAGATCATAAACATTAGTCAATCATCTGCTTTTTTCGCCGGAGGGGCAAACGAAATGGTGCTCACAAACTTCAGCGGAGCCGGAATCGGATTCGGTATGCTCTTTTATTTTCTCCGATCCATCTTCACTCCATTATTTTAGGTTAAGTAGTCCATTGACTCCATTCAAGTATTTCGCTAATATTTTCAACTATATATATTTATATTTACATCTTCAGGCTTTGGTATTGGCTGCGGCTTCGGCGTAGGGTGGGGTTTCGGTGGTATGTACGATTTCACTGCACAGTTGTTTTTTATGAAGGTTTCATCATAACTTGTATTCCGAGATTGCAGTAAGTTAATAAGACATTATTATTTCACAAAACGCAGGTGATTTTGATTCAAATTTGGAAGTATTTCCTGTGAAATTTCCCCTAATCCCATGCGCAAGAATTTGACTATAAGTCATAATAACAGATTATGTGTTCAGTGTTCTAAATTTAGTTCAGAAATGCCAGAAAATTTAACTAAGAACACTGGTAACTGGTAAGAATTACTCTAATGGATTATCACATCATGGTAAACAATAGAGCTGTTAAAAACAAGGCTCACTAACTAAAGACTGTTAAGTTTTTTTTTATGAAGGGGTCAATCCATGATTGTATTTTACACATATTCAATGGAGTGAAGGTTAAGATATTTCCTTTGTTGAATACTTGAATGTCTTTATGATTAACTAAAAGCTTAGACTGGTAATTTGATTACATTTCTGTATACAACCACATATAAAAAAACACATTTTTACCTTTAAGAAGTCACATTTTTTTTTTAAATGTGAGCTTTTATACTTAAGTGAGTATAATAATAGTTTTATAGTAACTTTAGCTATTTTTATAATTTTTTTTCTTTAAGCAGATACAGCCACTTCCACAAATTTCATCCATTTAAGCAAATACAGCCGATTGCCCGATTAAGTCAATTTCAACATTACCAATCGGTCTCTTACATTGTAGTGAATGTGTAAACATACAGCTGTCAAAACCTAACAATTAAATATTGTGGTCTATAGTCTATACCAAAACCTTTCCTATAACCTTGAATTCTTTGAGCGCAAACATTTAAGTGCTTCTCTGTTTTGACTAATTTCTTTTTTATCTTTCTGCTGATCTTTCCTGTGGCTGCTTTCAACTATGGAGCACTAGATAGATTGTCCCTATGGAAATTGATGAATCAAATCTGTTAATACTTAATATTGATATTTTGATATTGGGAATATTCTTTAAGCTCACCATGGTATACACCAGCATGAACAACATATATTTTGTTCTCAAACGCATCTGTTTCTAACTTTCTATTTTGTCTTCGTGTGTGTGAACAAAAAATTGCCTATACTTTCCTTTCATTGTGATGTTTAAATAAGTGCTAAAATTCCCCAAAACAGCAGGTTTATTTCAATTTTTCTTCTTCCAGGGATGCCGATGAATTTCTTAGGTCTTGGTGCAGGTAAAAAAACAATGTTTATACGTACTGAACTCAAATTACTATTGACGAGAAATTAGTCACTAATACATTCTCCCAACTTTCAAATGTTGTAATAAAGGTGGTGGGTGTGGCATTGGAATGGGGCTTGGATGGGGCTTTGGCAGTGGCTTTGGCAGTCAGTATAGGAATTCCAGGGTTACATTTGATGGTAGCGAACCACTCCGTAGCAGCAAAGCTAGCGAATCAAAAGATCGAAAAAAATAAAAACCCTCGACTAGCTGATGATTCTCAGAAAACATTTCTAGAGCCACTTTTGAGTTTTTATCAGTGCAATCCAAAGCTATGATGTTGCAAACTTGCAAAAGCTTGTTTAAATGTGCCTATAAGCTGGTGTACCATTAGTTAGAAAGCATTGTGTTGTCAACAGTCAACACGCATAATCTAGCCTTTTTGTGAGTAATTTTCCATTTGAATCGGCTAAACAACTTCCAAATGTAAATCTATGGTTCATGTGATTCACTTACACCTCTCTCAGTAGCGGAAATTACCAAATATACCTCTATGTTGAAAAGGTTTAAATATGCTTTTAGTCCCTGCAAATATGACACATTTTGTTCTAGGTCCCTGCAAAATATTTTCTTTGTTTTTCATCCCTGTAATATGTGCTATTTTGGTTTTAGTCCATCTCTAACTCCGAAACCACACGACTTGGAATTTTTTCTATTGTTGGTTACATATATCTATTAGAAACTTTTAAATTTATCAGTTTATAATTTTCTAAGGCTAATAAGAGTGTTAAAACAATATTAAAACTAATTATTTGCATTTTGAAAATATGTATTAAAAACCCTCAAAAAAGAAATTAAACACTTTTTGAATGACATGACAAAGAATTAAAGAATATCTGTTAGCCGGGATTGTTTTGTTGTCAAGCGGAGGTTGTGTCATTAGTCATGGACTAAAAAGAAAATCAACATAAATTTGAGGGATGAAAAACAAAGAAAATGTATTGCAGGGACCTAAAACAAAGTGTGCTATATTTGCAGGGACTAAAAGCATATTTAAACCTTGAAAATATAAAAAATACCTTGTTTGTGAAATTATTATTTTTGAATTAGGATTTACATCTCTTGAGTGTATATGAAAAAGAAGTTGGTAAGGTACTATTGGAAATTATCAAGTACGAAGTATATGTTAGTCTATATCACACGAAGTTTAAATTAAGTATTCCATGAAACACCTTTGGGGACCATTTGGAAATGTCTCTTATTCAGTATGGTGTACATTATATAAACTTTTTTTTTTTTGAAAACCGACATTATATAATCTTAAAAAGTTTATATAATAATGATGCTGATATATGATAGTACTATATGAGAAAAAAATTTGAAATAGGAGTTGGGATTCGAACCCTCGGTGAATAAAAGCCTACATAATAGTTCTAATTTCCCTGTTCCAAAAATTCCTTTTTATGTTTATATTCCTAAGTCATCCGGCGAAATTTGGCCTCTTCTCCGTTTCCACCCACGTATATAGGATATTTTAAGAAATGAGCAATGCTTTGATACCAAAATTGGTTCAACACATATGACTAGCAAAACCACTCCTCAGGCGGATTCCTCCTTTTGCTCCTCATCAGGTTCTATATTTTCAATCTATAAATAGAAGTAATTACTACACACTTACACAATTTGGAAAATAATTATTCTCTCATTATCATTATAAGGTTCTCACTTTGTTTTGGACGATCCATAATTCCATATAAAGATTCTCATTTCTACTTTAGGAAACAATTAATAATCCTAATTGACAATTTTATCATTTAAATATTAAAAATAAAATATTTATAACATCACCATTATCATCATCTATCCAATTATATTATATATCCATCAAAACTAGTTTTCAAGATATAATAGAATTACCTTATTGAATTACTAAATAATCGTGTCGTATTTAGTGAATAAAAATATGACAATCCTATTTTAGAATTTACAAACGTTTGTACTCTTATTTGGAGCAATTTCTGCACCATATTAGGGATGGCCTCGGGCCGGTTCGGGCCCGGCCGGGCCTCGAGTCTGTTTTGTTGGGCCCGAGCCCGAACCGGTGGCCAACGGTTCCGGGCCGGGCCACCCGGTTAGTTTTTTTTTTCCTTCTCCCCCCCCCCCCCCCCCCACCCCCCCAAACCCCCCAAACCCCCCAAACTGGTCCTAAACATCAAGCCCAACTCAATAAAGCCCAAAAAAATGAAAAAAAAAAAACAGTTTTTGGCCCGGACCCGGGCCCGACCCGGCCGGGCCGGTTCGCCAAAAACTGTAACCGAGCCCGGAACTGCCCAAGCCCCCGGGCCTAGGCCCGAACCGGACCCGGACCTGGAAAACCGGGCCGGGCCGGTCCCGCACAGTAGCGGGCCGGGCGGCCCGAACCGAGGCCATCCCTACACCTTATATCACTTTTAAATTAAGTATTCCACAATTACATTTTATTGGATTGAACAAAATTACAAAACTGACATCTGATTATATTATCATTCATATAAAGTTTAAAAAATTAAAGACATCTGAACAGTATATAAAATTTATGTCTAAAAAATATATACAAAATTTATGTCTTTTTCGTAGTTTTTTTTTATTTTTACCTTTTTGTAGTTCTAGCCTTATGTATGCTTTAACATCAATCAAAATTACTCTAATACTCTCCAATTCTATTTTATCCTTAGTCAAGGAATGCGGAGTATATAAATGGCTAGAAGTCCTAGAACTGCAAAAAGACTGAAAAAATTCATAAATTATATTTTTTTATGTGAATATATAAGGAGTATATAAATGCCTAGAACTTTATATGAATGATTATATAATATCCATATGAAATGTCAACATAGCAACCTGGAAATGTACACTTGAGTAGTTGAGTAAAGAGACATTAGACATGGGCATTTTATGTGACAGATATTAATTGCTTGATCACATTTTCAAGTTCTTAACACCCTGTACCACATAAGAACAGAGAATGTCTTTTCATAATATCCATATGAAATGTCTGCTTAGCAGTATTCAAATGCAATACATATAAAAACGCACAGAACCTACTGAAATCTACTTCTAAAAAGAACAAGTCTAGATACAATTGTTTGGTAATTCGGAACATCTTTATACAATTGGCATGCATTCATTGGGTAATAGATAAGTTAATAACTTTTCATTACCAAACAAACGTATACAGAGACTTGCCCTTTTAAAAAATACATGACATCTAGTTTAGACTTCTAAATGAAATTCGAGTGTAATGGGCAAAATCAGCTCATGAAAATGACAAGGGACATGCAAATGCAATATTGATCTATTTACAAGATTTCACTGACTACAACACTGATTCCTTCATAATGTGTATTCATTATAGTACAAACAACAACTATGGGGAACGAAACCCGTGAAAATATATAAATCAGACGCAGTTAAAGCGATTCTCTAACCGCAACTTTGTATGGAGCATTGCTGCCACATACTTTGCACACATTCTAATTCCCAGCAGATTCCTTTTCCAATTCCTGAGATTAGACTTCCCACTCCTCACATATGCAATGCCAAAAAAACTGTATACCAAATTGATGAAATAAAACAATTACCAAACAGACATAACAAACTCAAACACACAATGATCCATTTAGAATGCTTTAAAATGATTCACTACAAATAATGATTTAAAATGCCAAACGAAACTTGGTCAAGTTCATCCCAACTTTTATAATGATCCATTTAGAGTTAAAAAGAGAGCTTAGTGTATAGGGAAAAACACTTTTTCCACTTGTAAAAGGACAAAAATTTCAAGCAACAATTTACCATCAACGAAATGAATTCAAACTCCTCATTACTAAATACTAAACATGCCACTCTATATTAAAGTTCTACTTTGAGAACAATAGTTGAGTTTAAATTGATAGATGTACAAAGCTCGAATAAACCGACTCACCTATCAAGCAGAGGAGAATGATGGTGAACCCCACACGAACAGAGCGACTATATTGTACATAATACTGAGACCTCTGAATCTGTCTATGTGCAGCTCCGTACCAACTATACAGTTGCTTGTCATAACATTTATCACATCCGTTTAGACAACTCTTACACCGTTCATAGCATGCGTTGATGCCCTTTTTAGAACAAAGCATCATGGATTATAATTTAAAAAATCACGATTACAATAAACAAGAAATTTAGGGAAAATGACACTTTTTGTCAATTAATTATGAGATTTGATACCACATTATTTTTTAGTTTCATCACTTTCCGTTCCTATATTATCCATAGAATAGAGGTCTGTGTCCCTAAAAAGTTTAAATGTCAGATGTTAGTTCTCAACTTCTCATTAGTCATTACAGTATAGACTCTCTTCTGAACTTTAAAATGGTCTATATCGTACAAATTTCTTCAACGGAAATTAAATCATACGAGTACATTTTAAAGATATTATAAAATTCTTTCTGGAACTAAGGACCAAAATATCATAGCAGTTTAGAGTAGTAATAGTTTCTTTTACATTTACAAATTAATTTAAGTTATAATTTAAGGTTTTCGTCCATATATTAGTTTCTGACAGTTTTATTCTTTCTTTTTTGCAGATTCAGTTTTATGAAGGCCAAACAATTGATTTACACATGTTGACTTTATCACTGTTTGGTTACAACAGTACTCAATTAGTCAATTACGGGGTATAATCTTAGTATCCTTGAAACTAAAAGCTACGGAGTATATAAATACAGAGTATTACATATTAAATATTTCGGTTATTAATTAACAGTTCCTTTTTAAAAGGGATTCAAACACCTCTTTAGTGTCAATGAAGGGTCTGTTTAGTTCGAGGATTCGGAGGAAAGGGATGAGTGATATTAATTCTTTAAACAACTTCTACATCAAGAAGGCGGGAAAATAAAGTGAAGATAAAAAAATATAGAAATACAAGCTCTAACTAATCATATACTACGTAGTTATTTCTAGTCTAAAGGTAACAAATAGATACAACCTCCGTCCATACTGAGATTCCTATCCATTATTCTCCGGTCAAAGTAAAGACTTCTTAATCTTTTACCTTTTTCTTTTTTTAATGTTTAATATAGTGTTGTTAATCCTGGATAGCGGAGCGGAGCGGCCAACCCCAAAAACGCTATAGCGGTATAGCAGCGGATAGCGGGATGACCACTATTTCGACAATATATATGCAAAGTACATATTATATGTGTGGCTTTGTGTGCATAGAATTACATATCATGCACATATCAATTCCAAGAAATGATAACCATGAATATATTACTCAAACGTCATGAAATAAAGAGGCATTAGTGTCTTAAACAAAAGAAACAAATAATTTAAGTACCTTACTTCTAAACATTAAAAATTAAGTTCCAGATAATTATTAATACATTCACAGTCATTAATATCTAATTATAACAAAATCATGGTTGCTGGGATGCTTTGAACTACTTTAACATGGAGATGCATGCTATAGGTTATGTTTGATCTTGGTTACTATTTTGAGTTAACTTAGTAGGGTTAGTAGGGATATTTTGTCCCCCACGTGTTTTGGAGGGTGTATTGAGGTTATTTTTTACTCCAAAAACATCTAAAAGTAAAAATTACTCCCAAATTCCCTCAAAACTAGCACTAGAGTAACCCTGTATATTATAGCAGCGCTATAGCGCCCGCTACAACCGCTATTGCCAACCGCTCCGCTATAAGCAGATTCATAGTGCCTAGCCCCTGCTCCGCCCCGTTATTCCACTATAGCCCGCTATTGACATCACTAGTTTAATCTTTTACTTTATATATCCAACTTTTATCAAATTTGAGTTTTTTTGCGACTTTATAAAACTTTTAATTTAGTTCCTAAATAAGTAAATTCTATTTACTAAAAAATCTAATAAGGACAAGGATCAGTTAACTTTATAGTCAATCAAACATTGTAAATCACGTTGGAACCTTTCTACGGGACGGAAGGAGTATATTATTCATAAAATAAGAGTCAATTATCCCCTCTCCTTCCCTCTGAAACCCCTGACCAAAAAGCCCTACACTACTAAATCTACTATTTACCCATAACTTTGACAAAAAGTGTCATTTTTTCATGAAATTTTAAAGAACAGTTCAAAATGTAAAAGAAACAAAGAAAAGACAATAACTAACTCACCCTGGGCAACTCCTGAGTCCTTGGTAAAGTAGCATCAACTACATCATTGTGGCAATCTGTGGTCTTCAACTTTCTGTAACCATTCTTTCCAAACTTGAATTTGGCTGCACACTCCATCGTATTCAGAAATCCTGAAAAGCTAGGAACCTTCCGAGGAGGTGGTCCCGCTTGTGTGTTGGCGACATCATCGGTGACTGCAATCTTCCAGGAACCTATATCAGCACTTGCACTTGCGGTTCTTCTATGTCCCGCCATCTTCTCTTCATTAACATCTGCTAAACGCCCTTTCTCTCCCGGCTTCTCTTTTTGCCGAGGAACATTCCCAGACAGAAACAGTGCAAGTTCATCCCTTTCCCCCTCATCCAAACGCACCCATGGTGATGGTGGCTTTCCTTGGGAGATGGCTGACTCATTTAAAGATCTCTCAACTTTCTTTATCTGACTGTCAATTGCAACAACAAACTCACTATGTCTATGTTCTGAATCATCAGCTGTGGAATTAGCGTAGCTCGATTTAACTGCCTTCTCAAACTCCTCTAACTGCATTGTCATTCATAATAATAGTCCATATTCCACAAGTATAAGTTCTTTGTTTCTTCTCTAGAAAATTAACTCTCAAAAGAATCCCACTGTAGTTTATAGATAGAATCATAAGCATATAACCATTATAGGGTTCACCTGCCATTTAGCTGTGCCAAGAGCAGTCTTTAGATCTCGGCGTATATCTTCAGAGTTCCAAACCTTAGATTTATCCTTGGTCACTTGAATCCATGTTCTATAAGCTGATTCCATCCTTCATTCATGAAAATCAAATTGACCAACATAGGATTTTTAACCAATTAAAATATAACTGAGAATCCAACCAAAGCATGATACATACATATTACCAATTAATAGGACAAGCAAATAAAACAAAAACAATAATACAGCAGAACGAATAACACCCAAAAATGCAAAAAGGAAACACATATGATATTACGGGAAAGGTTACCTGTCCGCAGATTCCTGAACCTCCTCGGCTGCAGAAAAGAAAGGATCTTTCTCCCAGCGATCAAAATGCGTCGCCATGTACGTCGTCTAATTTTATTCCGAGTTTATTCCAAACGGTGCATTTGCAGATTAGAAAATTCTTGAAAATTTTATACAAAGAAATGCCTAAACTAAAGAAAACATAGAACAAAAGAAAGAAATAAAACCTAGAGCAAATCTACAAACAAAAAAATTAAGGCGTTAGAGGAAAAGCGATATTTTGAATCTATAATAGCTAAATACAGGGGCCAAGGAAATCGGGAAAAGCAGATTAGGCGTTCGAATGGTAATTAGAAGCTGGATAAAACTAAAGATGAAATACATCAATTATTTGGGGAGATTTAGATTATGGTCAGGAAAATCTGCGTTTATGCTTTATGTAAAGGCAACGTCGTCGTTTACTTCCACGCTTGTGTGAAAATGGGTGTGGCGGCCGATACGAATTTGATCTTCTTTTTATTCTTTATTGATGATGATTTCCATTTCGTAGAGTTTAAGAGCTCGTTTGGGAGCACGAAAATCGGCTGTTTTGGTTGTTTCTGCTGAATTTTATGAAGTTCTGGCTAAAGTGGCTGTTTTGGCTGATTCTGTTGTATCTAAAAAAAAATATTTTAAAAATATATTTTAGTAATAAAATAAACAAAAAATTACATGTAAAAATAGCTAAAATGGTCATCTACAGTAACTTCAGCCAATACAGCCAGAAAAGTAACTCCAATCTTACTTTTTTTGCTTATTACACAATTCAGCACGCGAAAGTAAAAATTACGTGTTTGGTGAAAAAGCTGGCTGATAAGCCTGATAAGCCGAAAAAAGAGGTCTCCAAACGGGCTCTAAAATTATTGTAACAATGGTTGAAGTCGTTGAAAATATCAACTTCCAATTCAGCCATAGTGGGTGTGTTTAGCACTTTAGCTGATAGTTTTTGTGTTAATAGATTAGTAACTATGCATTCGGTTAACTAAAAAATGTTTGCATATTATAAGTAGTGGTCTATTTCATTCACAATCTTCACAAAATCAGTAATCCTATCATATCGAGTAAGATGTTTGATAATTTAAATTATGTTTGACATGACCAATCAATTCATAATCAGCCTGAATTTCTTCAACTCAATCAATAATTATAACACTAGCTATATTTAGAGACAATCTTAAATTAAACTGAACGTGAAAAAGAGTTGAATAAAAACATTATTGAATAACAAGCTTTTGATACACCTAAATGTCAAAACTATCCAATACAAACTATCATCATACCCTTATGACCTAAAATACATTTCTCATCACATTCTTTTATTTGCTCGTTGTTGGTGTAAGACGTACATATAATTTTTAGCTGGTTTGACCAATTTTAGTTGATTTGACAAGTTGACCACCTAAAATCAATGTTTTGAAACAAATTCTTCATCCAACAAGACAATTTGTTTTCTTAAATGTTGTTGCATATAGTAGTGTGTTGATGTATAGTAGCTTGTTCATTTTTATTTTATTTTCTTTTTCCTTTCTCTTGCTTGCTTTGGCAGTCCTAGGCTCCCACCATGATTTTGGTTGTTTTCATTGTTTTCTTTTTCTTTTGTCTTTCTTTTTACTTTTCCTTGTGAAAATCATCTCGTAATGACATGGGTAATGATTGTCTCAGAAGTGTAAATTGGTTTTTTGTGTAATTTGGTTTAGGTTATCTAGTTTAAGTGAACAAAAGAAAGAAAACCTAAGCATACATCTCGTAAAAACTAAACAAACCTAAAGAAAACCTTTAGTTTATCTTCAAATTAAGGATAAACAGAGGATTTTGTGTAGAAGTTTCCTTGTTATCACCAGACATGGTAAGGAAATTTAGTGAATTCTAAACAAGTCAATCTGATGCCATGAAGGAATGACACGACCAGATCGATGAAGGTTATCCTAATCTTGAAGAGTGATGATGTAAATTCCATGATTATTGCATGCATTTTCAACACCATCGATCCAGCTTTCACGAGTTGTGGGAAGATATCAAACAATATTCCCCTGTTGGAAACAATGTAAGAATTTATCACATAAAGGCTGAGATTTTCTGATTGCAAACAAAAAAAATGACGAGCCTATAATGGACTGGTATGGACGATTGAAGAAATTATGGGATGACTTAAATGATTTCAATGCTTTACCAAAATCTTCTGGTGATAGTTGTATGTGTGAAGTATTTGTTATTTTACGCAAAAGACGTGAACCTGACCAAGTTCGATTGTTTTTTATGGGTGTTAATGCTCGTTCAAACTTGTTGGTATTCAGCCTATACCCAGTCTAAATACAGTGTATTCTCAATTATTTCAAGAAGAAGAGGAGCACCCAATGATATATAGTGTACCTTTTGCTCTCTACAGGTCATACCGATGTATGATGATGTGCTAAACATGGCTAACCTAAAGCAAATGCAGTTACCCGGTCAACAAATATCGAAAATTTTTGCTTTGACAGTAAGAATGTTATTAATTCTGTAATAAACTAATAAGGAGTATATTTTTTTAGTTAGGATGTTTTTAATTTAATTTTATTTTCTGGTCTAGTCGGGTCCGTTTAAGTGTATTTGAACTGATCTAATATGATAAATGTATGCTTTATATGTATTGTATAACTATCGAAGTCTGATCTGATTTGTTTAAGTTTGGTCTGAACTGATCTGGTCTGTTTAAGTTTGATCTGTTCTAGTGTAATTTGGTTTGAGATTGAAATTATTCCAAGTAAAAAAAAATTGACTTTGAGTATCCAAACAAAAATTTAATCGACTGACAAGGTAGTAGTAATTGCTTACAAATTATGTCATGATTATTTTTCACATTAAGTTACAAGTTCGACACGTTCTCATCTGGATTTATGTGAGTTCTCTTGTGCCGAACTGATAAATTGAAGAAGTTAGTTCTAGAACAGTAGAATATAGAAGTTAAAAGTGAACCTCTCATCAATTGATTCGATTCGCCCCTTGCTATTTGGTTTAAGAGCTTGTTTGGTGGAGATAAGGGTATGTGGATGTATTTTTGAATTAATTTCATAAAAATTTAAAACTATACGAAATACATGATTTGTTTTTCTTGGAGTAAAAAATACATAATCTAGTTTTTGTAAAGTTTTTTGAATCTCTTTTCCTCATAAACATTATCGGACCAAATAATTCGGGATGGAACTCTGTCACCTACTCACCTGAACTACTCCATTAACCAACTATAAATGATTACGAAGTAAATTACATCATCACATATCTAAGGTTTTACATAACCATAAACATTACACATCAAGGAGTAATGAACTTCAGAACTACTCCGTATAAAACAATTTTACTACTCTGACACAAAAGGCCTTGCAATTAGTGAAAGTTTGAAACGCATCTTCAGATTGAGTCATCAGCGATGATCAGATGACCATGAAGCGTTTGGCTGTCAATTCCCATCTTGCTTATTCCTGGAAAAATAATCCAGATAGAGGCAGCTACATCATAAATAATACCCATAAGAAAGTTTTATTACATTATACCATTATTTTACATGATTACATCTGTACCATAATTTCCCAATATGGATACCATATCTAGCATCAAGGAAGTATAAACAGTTCAAAGGATTAGCTAAAACAATTACCACCTACATTGCTGCTAGCAAATCTCACTTTTCACCTGCCTGTTTCAGTTCGAGTTACCTACACAAGATGAAGATAGTGTCAACAAAATTCAAAAATTGATCATTTAACAGAGAAAAAGAATCAAATGGAGTGTCAAAGAAGAGGCTTCACTACCAGGGTCATCACCTTTTACCGTTTCTGAAGTACTTACACAACCATCCTGCAGAAAATAATGTGCTCATCATGAATCTGTCCAACTTTAAAATTGAGGTAAGGTTGAAAGAAAAGTGACACCTAAGGCCTTTCTGTTAAGGGTTGTTTGGCTGAAATGGATGGATCAGTTGATTTATTTAAAGGGGAAATGTTTGGTAACATCCATTTCAGCCACATAGGCCAAAATCTACTTGCGCTGAACAGAGTAAGCCAGATGAGGCTACCAAACAGGGTTTTAAAGTGGAAGGCACATCTATCTTACCCAATCAGGAACAGAATCAGAAACAAGTTTAACGTATTGCTCCATAGCCACCTCTGAGCTCATGCTTCCCAGTCTTTGCCAAGCATTCCTTGCACAATGGAATTACTATCCTCCATCATTCACAAACATAGCAGCTTTTGCTCCTGTTATTTATAACTAGCAATCAAACTATACCCTAAAGGTAGGTCTATGGTCATCCCAACAATGCAGTTGCATTTAGTTTGCGTCCCTAATCCTCTCAGAGTCTTCCTATTATATCTAACATATTCAAAACTCACATGTTGTGGGGTTCTTTCCCAGTTATAATCAGCAATGCATTCACACACGAAGCATAATGTGATGTGGGAGCTTGTGCACGACTGAATCAGTAGCAACACAAGGTTCAATGAAAATTGTGCTTTCTTGAGGTTCACCAGCATTCATTTATTACAACTGAGATACTTAACAGCAAGTAAATTATATCAGAATCAGATGCAACTCTTACATGATGATTTTTTAATATCAATATTATAATAAGACATGATTTAGCAACTTCTTTAACCCACTGTTGTCTCACACGGTGTATACTTTTCCATATCAAGAGAAAAACTATGAGATGACGATTTTAGATTTTCACCTTATGGTGTATGAGGGAAAAACGGAGTATATTCCCTCGTTAGAAGGTCGCAGCAGGGAGGACATCTGGTGTAAACATTGGTACTATGTTGTTTTCTAAAATGCTTTCATAGTGCTTAACAATTATTAACAATTAATTGGCAATATAAATTTCATACTGCACTGCTACCTACCCAAGCATATTTGAGATTAAGGTGATGGTGATAGCTATAATTTGCTTTCACCTAATTTATTCTTCAAACAGATTAATTCAAAGAAACCATTATGTGCTTGAGATGGATTGATGGGCTCACGTATTAAAACTAAATCACTCCCTTAAAAAAACTAAATCACTTTGGATGACATTTAAATATATAAATAAAACCAATTCTGGGTGATTAGTTGCTTTTTACTCATTGTGACCAAGGGATTATTTTGTTGGAGAAAATTGGAGTGGAGGGAATTTTTGGGGAGCACTAATTTGTTTTATTTCTTCTATTTTTATAATTTTAGTAGTTAGAATGTTAGTCTTGAATCTCTTGAATAGGAACTGATTGTATATTTACATATGTTCAACCAATCATTCCTGAGAATAAATTCCGGAGTTGTAATAAAATAAATATCATCCCCATTTTCTCTCCCCCGCTAAATCCCCCCAAACGAACAACAGCTAAATGTTAAAACTAAATTGTTTGGGATTCATTGAGATTAGATATAAATAACACCACACATAATGTCAAAGTTGTGAGTATATATAATTGTCTATGGAGTAGTTCAGGTTATATACCATTTGGATCGGGCAGAGACTCTGAATACCATTGGCTGAGGCTCAAAACAAGGCCCTTCCATTGCTACTTTCTGAAGGCCATACAGCTGCATCTGCAACTCTGTTCCCAGATTTGATAGAGCTTCATCTCCCCCACACTCCACCAAGTTAACTGCCTTGCCAAACACCATCTCCAGCTCACTTCTCTCAATTCCTTCCCAATCTTGATCCTCATCATCTTCTCTGAATCCACCTCCAGTCCCGACCACCCCGGTTTCTCCGGTCATGGTTCTTTCCCCTTCAATATGAGAACGAAAAGCATCGAGCTTTGAGGCTCGTACCTTCTCTGTAACAGCCCCATCCTCTGAAAATTCAATATTCTTTGAGTCCTGTTCACCAAACCCGCCATCACTCGCATCCAAACATTGCTCAACCTTTTGGGACTTTTTAACAAGCACCTGTCCTGCATCTTGATCGGCCATCTTCACATGATCGATAGATGATCGTTTTGCCGCAACAACTCCGCTGCTTTCAGCAGTCTTATTGACATCGCTGGACAGGGCATCAGAAAACAGCTTTGCAATTATGCAAGAAAAAAGCAGAGCTAACAACGCTGTCATGTAGTATCCCTCCAAAACCCCCATGATTGTCTAGACTCTAGAATAGCGAGTTGCCGAGTTATTTAAATATAAGAGGCCTTATGTATATGTGCTGAAGACACAGATAAGAAGATGAACACTGCTGCGACAAATACGTTGTATTCCTTATTACGTACTACTATCGTACGTATTTAGGATGTTTTTTACTAATTTGCTGGTCTTGTCTGGTCTGGTAAGGTCTGGTTTCTTTGTATTTTTATAACTATCCAAGTCTGGTATGGTCTGATCTGGTCTGAACTGGTCTGGTCTGGACTGATCTGGTTTGGTATGGTCTGGGACAAATTACAATCCAAGTAAAAACATTCTTAGCTTTACGATTTTTTCAGAATGTTTATATATGGTCGAAAAAGAAGAGAAGGAATAGATTAATGTAGATATAAGTTTCTTAAATAGGCTTATTATTGTTACCGTATTAGAATAGGATTCATTCATGAAGAAAGGACGCAAATAGTTTTCTTTTTTCAAAAAAAACTTGATTAACTTTTTGTTCAATTTGGCTTTTTTTGCAAACACTATTAATAAGTACTTTTGAACTTTTTAAAGTGTTTTTTGAAAAAAATACTTAATAGTAAAAGTTGGTACTGTTTGAAAAAAGAGAGATTTTAAAAAGTAAAAGTTGACAGTATTTGGTAAAATAAGTGTTTTTTGTGTAATAGAAAAAGTAAAAAGCAGATTCTAGCTTTAACCTTTAGAAATTAATTTAACTTGAAGTTGTCACTTGAAAACGCTCTTTTTGACTTTTTTAAACCAAAAATTGGGAAGCGCTTTTCTTGTAGTGTTTGCAAACTGTAGTGTTTACATTTTAATCCGGTTTTTTCATTATAATTTATATCCAATCTCAATCCGGTTCCTCACACTTGCTCGGCTGTTGTCAGGAATCATCCCCGCAAACTGCCTTTATTTATAAATAATTATGATATTTTTACATTAATAAAATTTAATAATTTATACGATAGTATAACTTCTGCTCCATTGGACATTGTGAATTGTTGAAATATAAACTATAATGATAATAAAGATGGAGAGAAAGATTTTCTGTGTATTTCATTGGAGGGTTAAGTCCCTATAAATATACATTACAAAGATAGAATATTCCTATAAGATTCTATACAATAATAATATCCTAGAGTATATTCCTAAAATATTCTAAAGTATATTCTAAGGATAGAAGAATATTCTAAAGTATATTCTAATGTCTTTCACACTCCCCCTCAAGTTGGAGCATAGATATTTATCATGCCCAACTTGTTACATAAATAACCAACATGAATTCCATTTAATGCTTTAGTGAACAAATCTCCAAGTTGCTCTCCAGTCTTCACATATCCTGTAGAGATCAATCCTTGTTGTATCTTTTCTCGAACAAAGTGACAATCAACCTCAATATGTTTTGTTCTCTCATGAAACACTGGGTTGTTGGCAATGTGTATAGCAGCTTGGTTATCACACCACAGTTTAGCAGGCATTGGTGTCTTCAATCCGATTTCACTCAGCAAATGGTTTATCCAGATTATCTCACATGCCGATTGTGCCATAGCCCGATATTCTGATTCAGCACTCGAACGAGAAACCACATTTTGCTTCTTACTTTTCCAAGAGACGAGATTACCACCAACAAAGACGCAATAGCCAGATGTGGATCTCCTATCATCTTTAGATCCAGCCCAATCAGCATCTGCAAAGCATTCTATTCTCATGTGATCATGATTTTGGTAAACAATACCTCGTCCTGGTGTCCCCTTCAAGTAACATAATATATGCTCTACTGCATTCCAATGATCAACTGTCGGAGATGACATATATTGACTTACTACACTGACTGAGTAGGCAATATCTGGACGGGTAACTGCGAGATAGTTAAGTTTTCCAACCAACCTTCTGTATCTTTCTGGATCTTCAAATGGCACACCTTCATGAGTGAGCTGCACATTAGGAATCATGGGAGTATTGCTCGGTTTTGCCCCCAATTTCCCTGTTTCAGTTAGCAAGTCAAGCACATATTTACGCTGAGATAGAAATATGCCTTTCTTACTCCTTGTAACCTCAATCCCCAAGAAGTATTTTAATGAGCCCAAATCTTTTGTCTGGAATTGTCTATGAAGAAAATTCTTAAGGGCCAAAATACCTGCATTATCACTCCCTGTAATCACAATATCATCGACATACACCACAACAATGTGACACCTGATTCTGTTTGTTTGTAAAATACAGAGTGATCTGATTTGCCTTTTATCATTCCAAATTGTTCAATAGATTGACTAAATTTCCCAAACCATGCACGAGGACTCTGTTTCAGACCATAAAGAGATTTGCGAAGTCGACAAACCTTACCATACTCCCCCTGAGCAACAAATCCCGGAGGTTGCTCAATATAGACTTCTTCTTTAAGGTCACCATGCAAAAATGCATTTTTAATGTCCAACTGGTGTAAGTGCCAATCATGAGTTGCAGCGAGTGAAATAAGTAACCTGACAGATGTTAATTTAGCAAGAGGAGAAAAAGTGTCAGAATAATCAACACCATAGGTTTGAGCATAACCCTTCGCAACTAATCGGGCTTTCAACCGAGCAACAGATCCGTCTGGGTTAACCTTAACAGCAAAGACCCACTTACATCCAATAGATTTCTTCCCTGTAGGCAAGTCAACCAAATCCCAAGTACCATTAAGATCTAAAGCATTCATTTCCTCTACCATGGCATGACGCCATTCAGGATGAGACAAAGCTTCTTTGACAGATTTGGGAACAGAAATAGAATCAATGGAAGCAATAAAAGAACATGAAGCAGGAGATAACTGATTGTATGACACAAATGAAGAAATAGGATGAGTACAAGACCGTGTACCTTTACGTAGTGCTATTGGGAGGTCAAGATCTGATGTGGAGACAAGATCTGAAGATGCAGGTACTGGTTCAGGACATGAGATCGGAGTTGAACTAGTATCAGGATAAGTAATCACAGGTATCGCCGGTGGAGGGTGATCAGGTGCTTTGTGTCGACGGGTGTATACCAAATGTCCGGGAGGCCTAGGGTCAGGAACAGTAACTTGTGGAATATTTGTCGAAAGTGTGGACTCGGGAATAGTCATCGTGTAAATGAGTATATCATCATTACTCTCATGAATATCTGCCTTAGATGATGAAAAAGGTGTATTTTCATGAAATGATGCATCAATAGAAACAAGATACCGATCAGTACTCGGACAAAAACATCTATACCCCTTTTGGACTCGAGAATAACCCAAGAAAATACATTTTAATGATTTGGGATCTAACTTTGTAAGATGAGGATTAACATCTCTAACAAAACAAGTGCAACCAAATATTTTAGGTGGGATAGGAAAAAGCTCTTTGTTTGGAAATAGACAATGATAAGGAGCTTTACCATTCAAAACAGAAGATGGCATTCGATTTATCAAAAAACATGCCGTAGACACGGCATCCGCCCAAAACTGTTTAGGCACATTCATTTGGAATAAAAGAGCCCTTGCAGTTTCCAACAGATGTCGATTCTTTCTTTCAGCAACTCCATTTTGAGGAGGTGTGTCTACACATGAGGTTTGATGAATAATGCCATTTTGAAGCATAAAAGATTTAAATGGAGCATAGAGATATTCTTGGGCATTGTCTCCCCTCAACACACGAACAGGAACATTAAATTGAGTTCTAATTTCAGCACAAAATGCAGAAAAAATGAGTAAATAATTCTGATCGACGTTTCATAAAATATAACCATGTCATACGAGAGTAATCGTCAACAAACGTAACAAAATATTTGAAACCAGATTTGGACACAATAGGACATGCCCCCCAAACATCAGTATGAACAAGGTCAAATGGAGCATTTGCTCGTTTATTAAGTCGAGGACTTAAACTAGTACGATGATGTTTTGCAAATTCACACGACTCACATTGTATAGATGACACCTTATTAAACTGAGGATATATTTGTTTCATTAGTGAGAGAGAGGGATGTCCTAATCGGTAATGAGCTTCTAATAGATTTCCAACCCCAAGACAAGAGATACCTTTTGTGATTGATGTATCCAAAATATAAAGACCAGCCAACTCATGTCCTTTACCAATGATCTGCTTTGTCAAAAAATCCTGAAACACACAATATCTAGGAAAAAATGTAACAGGACAATTAAGAGTACGTGTGATTTTACTGATGGAAAGCAGATTAAATGCAAAATTAGGAAGACTCAAAACAGGTGATAATGGTAATGTAGAAGTTGGGACAACAGTACCGGATCCAAGAACAGGTGAGGTAGACCCATCAGCCAAAGTGACAGTAGAAGTAGGTAAATATGAATGAAATGATGAGAATAAATTAGGATTACCAGTCATATGATCTGTGGCACCTGAGTCAATGACCCACTGCGAGGATGAGGAGACAAGACATGTGTTTGAAATACCTGAATTAGCAACTACCGAAGTAGAGACAGAGGAATGCTTTAGAGATTCTTGGTAGCAAATAAATTTGGCATACCGGTCTGAAGAAATAGCAACTGATCCATCAGATGAACTGGTAGCGGAAGCAACATGAGCAAGCTGATTTCCTGGATTTTTGAACAGCAATTTTCTACATTCTTTGATCAAGTGCCCGGGTTTCTTACAGTAATTGCATATTACTCCTCTGTCAAATTTACCCGTACAAGACATAATTTCTTTTTTTTTTCTTTCTTTCTTTACTTTTTTTTTTTTAGGAGTGAGCAATTACGAGAAAAAAAAAAGATAATATAGACTCACAGCAGCTTTCCCGTTTTGTGGACTCAAAAGCTGGAAAATAAAATACTCCGTATCTAATTTACTGGCTCATGCGCGTTGACTGCTACGGACTCCAAACACAACAAAAGATGCGCTAGAGATCCGATGGGAGACCCACCGCGCAAGACCCCAGCAGATGCGAAGAATCATGCGGATGTCCGATGCCAGACCCCAGCGACCAACCGCAAGAATTCCTCCCACAAATATTCGTTCCTTTGCTGAAGTAAATGATACCTGGTGGTAGAAGACTCTCAGGCGAATATGTGGGAAAATCCCGACCAAGTCTCTGGCCAGAGAAGGTGTGTCACGCGCGGGCGGCTGCTAATACTCCCGGGTGGCTGACGAGCGTAGATTTGGAGCAGCGAACTGTCAACGCCTGGTTGGAGACGGCAGGAATGGTGTAGTCGGAATTTCACCGGGGAAATGGTTGGACCAGGCGGAGATGGGGGTAGTTTGCTTGATACCTAGATTCTGAATTTGTTTGAACTGAGGTTCTGAATAGAGGGTCTGGTTAATGGCGATGGTGTGTAGAGAGGTTCTGTTCTGGATTGAGTTTCTTGGTGATAGTGGTGCACAGAGGTTCTGAACTGAACTCAGGTTCTTTGAGAAAGAACCGAGTCTGCAAACTAAATTGAATCTGAAAACTAAACTGAAATATGAAATCTAAACAGAAATAGATGTCTCTGATACCATGTTGAAACATAAACTATAATGATAATAAAGATGGAGAGAAAGATTTTCTGTGTATTTCATTGGAGGGTTAAGTCCCTATAAATATACATTACAAAGATAGAATATTCCTATAAGATTCTATACAATAATAATATCCTAGAGTATATTCCTAAAATATTCTAAAGTATATTCTAAGGATAGAAGAATATTCTAAAGTATATTCTAAAGTATATTCTAATGTCTTTCACATGAATTTTGTATTGAGTATTAAATGAATAAAATGTAAAAAGAAGTGTGCAGAGGGGTAAAAATAAGATGGACCACAAATTCATTATTTAAAAGTGACAAAAAAAAAAGTTTACGGAAATTATCCTAAATAAGACTAATGAGTTTCTAAAAAACACAAATAGGACTACTACTTTTTAAAATTTCTAAATAGGGCTAAGATTTTCTACCCTAAATACCCCTAAGAGTATTACGTAGTAATTCATAATGAAATGTTTTAATACATAATAAAATCTTAAAAAAACGTAAAAAAATATTTAAAACGTAAAAACATTATAAAAAATTTATAAAAATATTTATAAAATAAAAAATTTAATTTTTATTTTTTTAATTTTTTTAAAAAAATAATAAAAAAATAGTAAAACCCATAAAAAAATAAAAAAAAATTATGGATACCTTTCTCGCCGTCTCCCAGCACCACCACCTCCAAATTGGTGAAATTTCTTCCACTTTTGGTAAATAAAATGCCATCTTTTTCTGAAAATGCCAAAAAGATGACATAATTACTCTTCAACATGCCAACATTTTCATTGAATATGCCATCATTATGACATAATTTAAAATGTTGGCATATTTTTCTCTGGTGATGGGAGTTGGTGGTGCTGGGGGGTGGCAGGGGTGGTAATGTTTTTTTTTTTAATTTTACGATTTTTTTTTTGATTTTTTTAAGTTTTTTAGTATTTTTTATGATTTTATTATTAATTAAAACATTTCACAAGCTACAAGGGTATATTTCTCCAAACACACATAAATAGTCATATTAAGGGAATTTAAAAAATTTAGTCTTATTTGTGCAATTTTGCCACTTTTTAGTCCTATTTAGGGAATTGACTCAAAAGTTTATCACATAAAGGGAGGGAGCATTTTAGAAAAAATATTTCATTCGTATTTTAAAGATTGTTACATTAACTTTGACACATAATTTAAAAAAAAATAGTAAATATAATGAATGGTGTAGAAAAAATAGTAGCAAGGCATTTTTAATCTTCTCTTAATCTTAGCTTCGCACATACGCAAAATTGGCGCTAAGAAGATTGTTTTGGGATAATGAATACTCAAAAAGCTCATGTACATTTTAAAGGCCTCCTCACTATAAAAAGAAGATTAAATAAGTAACTCTAATATAGATAATATTTTTTAGAGAAAACTTTTAAATACATCTCAAAAAGAAAGTATAATAAACTTTAGAATACGAAGAGATAAAAATATAGGTATTTATACACTTTGCATATGTTTTATTTCTATTTGGAACAATTTCTTAAAATTGAACACTACAAATTTATTTACTCTAGAATCTATATTGTTACATATTACAAAGGTTTGTTTTGAAATTTGACTACTGACTCTGTAGTCTGTACTCATCAGGAATTCAGGATAAGAAGTGCTGGTCCTAGAATCCGTTCTATTCTTTTCTTAAACCCCAAAATTTTATTCCAACATTATTTTTAATGTATGTTATGTTGATTGTCTTACATAACAATCAGTCTTCGTTCTTAATAAGATTGTCAAATTGATTTTAGAACAATATTTTCTAACCGAGACTAATTGACAGTGTATCATATACAAGTAATTTTTAAGATTCTTCGTATCAGATTAAAGTAGAACAATTAAAAATAGACGTAATTAAATTATGTCGTATCACAAACACTTAAATACGGAGTAGATCAAAATGGGTTATCGTTAAATAAATAATACTACGCATTAAGTACAAATGACAAAATTATAATGGATTAAACTAAACCTATAAAAGTAAATAAAAGTAGATGAGACTCAGAACTCTCATTAGTCATCAATTGAACAACTGGTGGTTACAAAACTCTACCACCAAATGCTTCTTCGCGTAAGTGGAATATTTTCGAAATATTCTAAACAAGGAAATGAGGAATATTCTAATACTATGACGGAGGAATATTCTAATACTAAACTCCGGGTTACATCATAAAGGAAAAATTGACAAGAATAATCACACCTTCTTTCATTGGATCCTGATCAAGTTTTTTACTCTTTTTTGAAAATCTTATATAAATAATCTCACACTTATAAAGATGTAACAAAAAAGTGAAAGGTGAGATTATTTATATGATTTTCAAACAAAGATTAAAAAACTTGGTCAGGGTCCAATGAAAGAAGATGAGGTGCAAATGTGGGATTATTTTGGGATTATGTAAAGGTGGGATTATTATGAGAAGACCACTGAAAGGTGAGATTATTCTTGTCAATTTTTCTCATCCTAAAATGTCAGTCTGTTAGGAGTAGTCCGGATCTTAATATAACATTTAGTTCCTTCACACGTTTTCCGGTGTGGGAATTCAACATACTACCTTCGTCCCACTAAGGTTGGGACAAGAGAAGATGACACGATTATTAAGAAAAGTGGATTTGTGTGGTTGATATTAAATTGATAAAGTAAGAATAAAGTAAGAATATTTTAGAACCACACAAACTTTACCAAATTTGGTATGGAACAATCTTAGTGGGATTTCCCGAAAAGGTAAAATGGAACATTCTTAGCGGGACGGAGGGAGTAATATGCCAAAGTTTTTAGAACTTCAATCCACTATAATCAGTGTTCTAAAAGGCGCAAGGCGTGTCAAAGCGTCACAGTCAAGCTTTAAGCTTTCGGAGCCTAGGCGGGTTTATGCGTAGTCTAGGCGTGAAAAGACGTTTTGAGTTTTTACTAGTTATTTGATTTTTATAGAACTATTAGTTAGTATATAAATATGAATTTAGATTAAATCGGGTAAAAAAATATACAATTCAATTTTATAACAAAAATATACTCCTGGAGTTTTAAAAATCCCAAATAATAGTTCTAACTATGCTTGCTACAAAAAGTAGAACTAGATAAGTAACGGGGACACGGGGTGTTAAACAACAACAACAATAATAATTATAATAATAATAATTTTTAATTTTAATGACTATAATCATGTTCAAATTATGCAATTATAGTTATTATAAAAGTGCACATAGTCACATTACTTACATTTTTTGTCCTTTTTTAATGTTAGTAATATTTCAAGAAGATTATGATAATGATAGAAGTAATAATAAGAATAAAAAGGTTGTAGAAATATAATCCGGAGTAATATAATATAATAATAGAATAATTTATTTTAGCATATTGTAATGTAATGTTGTAGTACTCTTTATTTCAAGAGTGCATTGATGGTCTGGTAAGATGGGGTTGCACCAAGTCCAAATCCTAGCAAATAGGGTGTTCCGTATGACCCAATGTAAGTTTTTGTTCTTCCGTTTTTAATCAATTTTTTTCCCACACCGGTTTTCAAAGGCTGCTTCATCCTTCAGGCTGCCTTATAAACAACCACCCTCATCCGTATTCTTCTTTCAAGTAAGCAACAAGTACAATCCATGGTTAAAGTCCCATCGATTAGCTTTCATAGGCCTGGCCAGCTGATGTTAGGGCCATGGGTAAGCTTTGAAAGTTTTTGGGCCGCCTTTCATCACGCATTTGTGGCATGCGAGGCGTTTGGTCTACGCCTTGGGCCTAGGCCCGCCTAGGCGAGGCCTTTTAAAGCCTTTTAGAACACTGACTATAATATGTTGATTTGAAAATATCCTAAAACAAGTTCTTGGTGTAATTGTTTATATTAAAGTTTTGAATTTTTAATAACAATAAATTATACGAGTACTCCGTACATTGTCATTTGTTGATTATAACGTAGCATTATTAGTTTATTTTGTCATAAACTATCATCAAGTTCACAAATCTAGCTATCTTATTTTTTAATTTTTATCAAAAGAGATTCAAACTTCATCTTTTTCAACAATTATGCTTTTCGTGTTTTCTTCTTCAAAATTAGCAGTTTTACCAATATCCATGCTTTTTATATCCTAGAAATAAATTTAATAATTTTTGTTAATGATTTAACTATATTTATTTTTCATGAATTGGCAAGAAATAGCTAATATATTTATGTTTTTTAGAAGTTACTAAAATAGATTAAACACTAATAAATAACAAAAATTCATTTAATATAATTTATTTGTTACCTAGAAAATTTTGAACGTACTCTTTTTAATAAGTTGGTCAATATATCTGTTTTAATTTTTCGATCACTTTTGAATATCGGATTGAGTTAGTGTTGATTGCCCGATTTGCCCCCCTCTAACAATTTCTAATAGTGTTAGGCTTAGGCGCCGAACACCTACAGTACGTTCATACAGATTTAAAATATGAGAGTATGAGACTACTTTCATAAGAAATGAAGCATAGACTCATATCTGAAAACACATATAGCCGCCAAATCTTTTTCTATACTTTTCCCTAAAATATTTAAGAAAAATTAAAGTGTGGGATGTGATTCACTCACTACAAAAAAACACGGACTTAGTCACGGATTTAGTCACGGACCGTAGTATTAAAAATCCGTGACTAACTCTGCTAGTCACGGATTTTTTCCGTGACTAAATCCGTGACTATATGGGCATGACTAATTCTAGTCACGGTCTATTTCCCGTGACTAAGCGTAGTCACGGATCGTGTGACCGGAATAACCACTCCGGTGACTTAGTCACGGCCGTTATCCGTGACTATTTTTTTTTTAATATTAGTCACGGCCCTATTCCGTGACTAATTTTTTTTTAATTCGAACATGTTAGTCACGGACAAATCCGTGACTAAATTAGCGTTAAAATTTTCCAAATTTTAAATTTAGTCACGGACATTATCCGTGACTATAGTTTTTATTTTTTTAAAAAAAATAATTTAAATAATTTAAAAAATAAATCCGGTCTACAATTTAGTCACGGCTCAGATCCGTGACTAAAGTTTTTATTTTTAAAAAAAATCATTTTAAAAAAAATTAAAAATTATGTTTTAAATTTTCTTTAAAAAGTTTATTTAAAAAGTTTATTTTATAAAAAAAATTGTGGAATTAACAGACTAGAATAAAAATAATAAACAGACTAGA